AATAATAATAATAATAATAATAATAATAATAATAATAATAATAATAATAATAATAATAATAATAATAATAATATTTGGATGATTAATTGTTCAAAATAATACCTACTATTATTCTTACTCGAGATTTATATTTTTGACTTGATAGCATTATAATAATATAATATATATATTTTTGTATTAATTAATTTTAGTTGTTTGAGTTGATAATAATATAACAAATTAATAAATTTATTTTAAAATTTAGTTTTTATCTATTTTTTTATTAATTGATAATATTATATTTATAGTAATATATCAAATAATCTATTTTAAAATATTTAGATATTAAAAAATAAACTTGATTATATTGATATGACTGACTTAATTCAATCCAACACGTAGATACGTAATCAAGTTGAATTAGATTAAATTTAAAAATAAAATTACACAAAATCAATCTAACCTAATCAAAATTATAAATCCCCTTGACTGATCCAATCCGACCCATCTATTCCCTTCTTATGGATCGTATAAACTATGCAAGTCGTGTTTGTATAACCATGTAGCACGTAGTTAATTTTAAATTTTAATACTATAGGATTCCACTTTTGCAGTCATAAGGACGACTCAAAGTAAACGTTTGAGTTAACATTAATTAATAATATTATTAATATATGTACCTATAGAATAGCCATAAAGTACTATTCATGACTCTTGAGCCTCACAAATTTTATGTCTCGCGCGCTGACTCCAGTGTCCACGTTTAAGTCTCCTTTCTCATTAATTTTCTTTAGACTTTTTTTTTCTCAATAAACAAAAGGAGCTAGTCGGCAGTTCATGTTAGATTAATTCGGCTGAAATAAAAACTGAATTACACTTTCATCTCTTAAAAATTTTCAAATACTTATTTCAAAAAATATAATTTAATTTAATATTTTTGAGGTAAATTACATTCATCTTTCAAGAGATGGAAGTATTATATTATATTATCTTTCTTTTATATATGTTAAAATATAAAATAAATTACAGTTTTTTCTCTTAAAAAATATGAATATTTCACTATTTCACTACTAGAATTTTTTCTATTACCTAAGGATATTCCTAGGAATTTTTCATTAAAATTTGTAGGAAATAAGTTTTTTGCGAATTTTTCTACAAATTTATTTTCGCAGCTAATACCTTCGTGGATAATTGTTTCTTGCCAATTTCAAAATTCGCAAAAAAATTCTTATGATTTTTGCTATAAAAAAAATCTATAGAAAACTTTCTTGCAAAAAAAATGGCAGCAAGCTTTCTTGTGGAAAAAAAATTCTTAAAAATTTGCAAAAAATATTCTACAAATTTTAAAATCCACAAAATTTTTGCAAGAAATTTTCCACGAAAATTAAAATTTGCAAGTAAATTTCTTGCAAAATTAAAATTTTCCAAGTAAATTTTCTGCAAAATTAAAATTTTGTAGGTAAATTTTCTGTAAAATTTCAAATTCACAAGTAAATTTCTTAAGAAAAATCGCAGGTAATTTTTTATAATTTTTTTTAATATTATGATGCCCTGCAAGTTCACAATTCTTATAACTTTCACTATTAACCTCATTCTTTATATTTACTAAAAAGAATATCTACTCTTCCCTTTTATCGTTATGTATGTACTCGTGTCAGTTAAAAATCAAATCAGAACAGTATTATACTACTCTCTTTTTTTTGGTCGAAAAAATAAATATACTGCTCGTGTGCAGTTCATTT